ATATCTTGAACATCACAACAGATCTGATTTGGTAGGAAGAAATCTAGCTTCTTGATAAAAGCAGCACAGCGAGATGGTCCCAGTTACTTATTTCTCATAATGTTAGTTCCATCCATCCGTTACATGAGCAAATTCTTGCAGTTTCAGCTCCATCTGCCAGAACGACGTCACTGAAGCGCTTACTATTCCTGTTTTACGAAACTCAAGTCCGAAGGCTGGCTTCTCATTCGAATGTCTTCAGGTCATCACCCTCTTGTTAGTTGCTTCATGCGAACATGTTTCATGGAAGCATTGTTGTTTCACGATGTGGCGACGTTGACCACGACGCCTTTCTATGGAACCTCTCCTTTTGGTATGAGGTCAATTTTCGTAACAGAATCCAGCCCATTCGATCTTAGATCACCACAAGGCCTCCAGACGTCTGATTGGTTTTGTTGCTTCAAAAAGTGCATATTTAGCTTAAAGCACGTCGTACATATTTTTACTGTAAGAGGCTAGGTTGACTCACCATTTCTCCTCGTTCAGCGATATCAATTGTGATGTTCTGAGAATTTTCCCCAATAGCACGGCTTCGAATTGTTGCACGTTCCCACAAATAAGCGTTAAAATCCGGCTGATAACGAGAGCCAAAGAAGGATCGCGTTCAACGACGCCCTATAACATCTCGTTGAGTGATTTAGAGACGGGGAACTGAAACATTGGCAGTATTGTGGAAAAGGTTGTTTTGAAGTAAGTCGCTGCCCCATAATTGTGAAGACAGTTCCAAGACCGACCCGAGGCTAAGAAAAATGGACAGGAACTACGAGTAGAAGAGAGATTACATGTACGCACACTGGGGGGCGAGATAGACGGGGTAATAATCCAAGCTCTCAGCGTGCTGCGCATAAAAGCGTATGTAGGAAAGAAAATGGTTGAGGAATATGAAGCATTCGACTTTGGTCAGCTCTCATATGGGATGCGCCATGCATTTCACTTCACTGAGAATTGTGGTGGTGTTGGAATGCTACTTAGTATAGAGAATTGTGGAGGCCAGCAAATTTATGACCTAATGTTTTTTCTTTCATTTCAGACGTGTTCAATATCGACCAATGAATAGAAAAGGAGGTTTCTCACTGCAAGTATTTCTGATCCCACAATCAGAAAAAGGATAGTTCAGAAAAAGAAGAAGGTCGAAAGCGAGGAGAGCTGGATAAAGGGTTATGGACCTCGAAATAATACATTTTCTAGGCCGTATCCTATCCTAATCCAAACGCTAAAAGAAACAAAAAAGAGAAATTTGAATTTATTTGTTTTCAACGAGGCAGTTTCCTTACTTTCCGCAAACGCTCACTTTTACACACATATCTGCACTAGAAACATATACTTCCTCAGGACGATTTTTGTGGGAACACGAAGAAAATCAAAGGGATTTCTGTTCCATTAGCCTAGCGGAAGGATAGGATGAAGCCCCTGGTCTTTCTAATCGTCATATCTGAAGGGAAACTTCAGCTAACGCTGGTTGGAATGCAATCGTCGACGCGCGAAACAACAGCTTCAAAAATTACCATGTAAGACTCAATCGTGACAATGAAGCCATAACATCTAAAATCGCCTTCAGGCAATTGTAAAGTCTTATCGCCATATCTGAAAAAAAAAACAGTAGCAAATTACGTAAAAAGACATTGATAGTAGACAGGACCAACCCAAGAACATCCTTTCCATTGAGTAGCATGCACAGAAAACCAGAAACAGAAGCGATTTCTTGCAGGGATGCCGTTTTCTTCGACTCCACTGTTACCTTTTCCACGATGGTACGCTTCGTTAAGGCACGCAGGCTTTTCTGCAAAGTTACATAAGCTGTCTACAAACTAAAGAGATCTACACGCAACAATACCTGTTCTTTGTTTTCTTCTACACGTTTCTTGGCTTTATCATACTCTTCCGCAAGCTTTATTTCCGCCACGTGGAAATCTTCAAAGGACTTCGTTGATATTGGAGTACTATCAGTCAGTCCAGGAGGCTGGAACAGCAGAATAAATTTTATTATGTAGCCTCAGTAAATTTCAAAACAGGGCACACACCACACCCAACTCATGCGGACAAATTTTGTCAGTGGTTGAAATTATAAGGATAAAGCATTTGCCGTTGATCAATCCCTTTTTGGGATGCGGCACGCATTCTACTTCCACATTCGTAGTGGCGTTTGAATGCGATGTGGCCTATACAATGACTTGCGGGGGCCAGCCGATGTACAAGTCAGTGTTTTTATCCTCCCAGACAAGTCTGGTACCAATTAACCGACCCCGGAGGGATGGAAGGCTTGGTTGGCCCGGGCGACTCACGACCCAGGATTTGATCCCCGGACCGCTCGCGTGGTAAGCGCGCCACTTGCCACTACACCACTTCCGCCCCGTCGGTGGAATCGTCGAAAAATGTCCGTGATAGTGTCAACATGTGCCGTTCCCGCAGCTTGAAAGTATGCACCGAGGGCGCAAGAGCACATTCGCTTGGGCTTGCGAATGCTTCCGCTCTTGGTCGTAATGCAGCAATTCGGTGCGTCTTCTACATACTCTCGTCTATTCTGCGAGGTCGGCACTCAGTGTCTTCTTATAGCAGCGCAGTAAGCTCTACGAAAGGCGTAGGCTCATAATTTTAGCTATTTGTTTTTTTTCACTAGCGATCCACCTCACTTAGGTTCATTATTGAGAGAAATACCTTATCATCGAGAGTTGTGCCTTTATTTACATGTGCACCTTCCAAACAGCAATTAAACACTGTAATAGGGCAAGTTTCGGAATTTTTGGACTGCGAGGACTGCATTTCAGCCTTCATCAGCTAATCGAAGCAAGCCCTCTTTCTCACGAAGAAAATGTTAGAACATCACGATTTCACATTATTGGTGCAAATTGCTTCGCCTTGTTGGCTACATTCAAAGGAATATTGTTCTTTAAATAAAACGTTTGTCAATCGAAATGAAAAACCACATCCTTCCTATTTCTCTATCGTTTTTTGTTATTTTTTTCTTCTCTAAACATAGTTTTACTTCCAGCACAGTTTCCCGACTCTTCTCACCGCTTGTGGCACGCCTTTGAGTGTAAGTAAAAGATAGATGAATGAATAAGTTAAGTAGGATATAAACTTGCCTTACTGGACTGATGGGCTTTCATAGGTACCTCAGAATCTTTGGGTTTCTCAGAGACAACAACATGACTGTCAATGCCATTCTTAGCTTTCTCACTTTCGTTAAGCATTGGTGGGCTGGATGGTTTTCTGAACAGATCTGTAAATGCCAGAAGTGATGAAAAAGTAAGAAAAAAGTATAGCTCACTTCAAAAAAGTGAAAGGTGTCGACGTCAAAGCTCCCGATCCAAAAGAAGGTCTCGAGCCGTTGTAGGTGTCCAAATGACTCATTTTTGATATGGCCTCATTTACAGATACAGCTGCCACTGGAGTGTTCAGAAAATCGAAGCTTTTTTCATTGACGGAAGTTGATGTGAGCAAGGAAACATCCTTGCTCATGGGTGTTGACATTGAAAAGAAATCTCCTCCTTTTGAGATATTGCCATTTTGTAGTGAACTGCAATTGGACAAACTATGTTTAATACCGGTAAAGGTTAGAAGAAACAAGCCGAGAAGAGACCATAATGGGAGCATGAACAAAGCTAAAATCCATATCTGAGGTGAGAAATCGTTCATAACGACAAAAATAACCATTATTGGAAAAAGTGAGGAAATATGGATTTTCAACAATTTTGTGGATGATGAGGTCTTCCAAATTCATGCGCTTCCAATATTCCCTGTGCAACAGGCAGTTATCCACCCAAGTGCAAAAGAAAACCTTAAACTCTAGGATATCCCAAGCTGAAGTAATTGCGCCACAAATCACGCAGAATTTCAAGATGAAATAGCAAAAACATAAGAAAGATTTTCCGCACCTTTATCATAGTTAATCAAAAGAAGATCGATACCGATTTACCGCCTCTCTGCATCAAGCCACAACTATCAATCATTAGGTAGTACTTTCTTCACCAGCAGCGGAAAGTGATTCATTTGTACAAAACGAATTTACTTATGAAAAATAATCTAACTCCATCATCCTAGATGTGTCGTGAACTTTTAAAAACATTTGCACACAACAGGCTAACTAAGTCGAACTGGAGGGAATGAAGATGACGAAATCTCCGAAATCCTATAGATTTGAGGCTACCGCGTCGAAAACGATGTTAAACTATTAATTCTTTCTTATAATTATTGCCGCAGGCTTGCGGAACAGCTGCAAGTGAACGAAGTTCCCAGTGAAGCATTATGAAATATCCATGCACTGTCTTTATCCGTGAAAAATGCAGTAGGTAAATGAAGCAGCAACACTAGCTCATTAGATTCTACGAAGAAAATTCAATTCACCTTGATGTCAGCGAACTTCGAGCCACCACTTCACCTCCACTTCCAGCGAACGAAGTAGAATCTTTCGAAGGTGCGCTTGGCTGTATCAGGGGTTGTGAAGGAATTGGAAGAGGAGCTGCGTTCCTCAACTCTGTTCTGATAAGATTGCGAATTTTGTCGAGGTTGGAATAATCCTCAAGATTTTCAGGCGGACGTTTCTTCTGGACAATGCAAAATCGAGCTACGATATCTCGCCAACTAGTTCCCACCACAGAAGCACAACCGACTTTTTGTAAATTAAGAGGAAAAGGAACGGGTGCAGAACTCGCCCTAGCAATATATTGCCACAGTGCCTCCTAGTCAAGCCTGGATCGTTTCTTTTTGGAAAAAAAACTACTGGGACGTAATAATAACCATCACAAAGTTACACCTTGTCGCACTGCCACTTGTTAGGTTGACTGACCCACTGCCCTGCGCTTGGCGCGAATGTTCAAGTGCTTTCTTTATGTAGTAGTTAGCGATCTCCTCAGCAGCCTCCGCTTCATATTTTTGAAAACATTGAACAGCCTTCAAATAGCAAGTTTAAAATCCATAGACGACAGAAAAAAACCACGACATGAAAACACATGGAGCATTCCAAGGAGTATTGAAGAGCAAAGTCATCTGAAGTCGCCTACCTCGATTGAAGGCGTTATATCATTCTTCCATATGTCGTCAATATGTCTACCAGGGCATCTTGACTCCTTATGACGTAAAATGGCGCTTGACTCACGCAACTTATTCGATATCCAAGGATGAGCAGCCAGTGACCGCCAAAATATATTTCTTCGAAGGTTAGGAAGCAAGAAAAGAGTTCTTAAGCACACAAATTTATATAAATCAAGCATGACACTAAGGCGCGCAATGGGAAAAGGTGGGCTTCCTTAACTCCTGCAAACATTTATATTCAATGCTCGAAGCTGGTGAAGAGTTCCGAAGTGGCCGCAAGTATGTCTGACGACCGATGACAACGTTGTTTTGCAACTTAGGGCAACGACAAGTTTCACTGGCCGGCTAATGTTATCTTGCGACACTGATTTCGAAGAAGCTGGTCGCATGACCTTGTCTTTAACGAATACCGCTTGGGATTTTCAGCAAGTCAGGTACAATAAAGACTGACCAGAAGATGGGCGAGGGCACGTTCCCTCAATCCACAGTGCACCGCCGCTTCATTCTGCTCAGCGTTGACTTTTTTTATTTGAAAATAACCCACACTCCAACCACCCTGTGACTGACAATCACGATGCTCTACCTGACGTAGTTGAAAAGGGATCTAAGTAGAATATCGGTCATTTGTCTGAGCAATTCCAATGCGACAAGGTGACAACACATCTGCGAAGACTTACAAAGACCCGGAAATAGTTCGGATCACATGCCTCAAGCTCAAATTAGCCCACACACGACCTGATTTCGCATGCACAAGTTCCAGTTCCACATGCTCTAAGCCCGAAGGCCACAAACACGATCTGACATTGTTATATTCGATTCGACTTAGTGCGGGTCCTTCGATTGACCATCCATCACATTTCGGCGGTGATGAGGGGTACAGTGTGCTAACAAATAAACAAGCGGCGTAGTCCAGCTCAAACGCTTCGGGAGTTCTTACTGCTAAGTTCAACCTCGTCCAAGTAGGGCCTTCTCGGATTTTTGGTGGAACACGAGAGGAGTTGAGCTCTGGAAACCCCTACGTGTAGATGTCGCAGTCAACGCGGAAGTCGGCCGCCCACAGCTCGATCGCAACGCTTTTGATATGAAAGAAAAATTTTGAGGTTGGTAAAAAATTGAATTAAAGAGCAGATAGTTCATTGCAGAAATTATGGACCAACAAAATATATTTAGCAGTAGTAGAAGGGACTACCCCTCAAGAGAACAAATGCTGAAGTGACAGTTCCATCCTCCCCGACCCCCTCCTTCACCTCTCCCTTCCAAGTGAGATACGCATTCTAACGCTTGACTGAAATCAAATTTGCGTAATACCAAGATCTACCAAAGCCAAACACTTGGCCATTACACCTTTTCCTCCTTTCCTGCACAAATCAATACCTTGGAGGCCAGTAGCATGCATCAGATCGAATGTGATATCAGAAGCACATTTTCTTTGTGTTTGAGTTGAGCAGCCATTGAGAAATTCTTGAAGAAAGGGTCGCATTTGTCCTTCTGGGAGATATCGAAGTAGTTATGAATGGCAGCGCATTTCAGAAAGGGTAGAAATAGGATTTTGGAGAGATTCAAGGAAATATCATGAGATTCCCATTGTTGCAACTGATGTATGTTCACTCTCCAGTTGCGACCGTACTTCAAAAGAAGTAGAGAAGTTAAAGAATAGAGTGTTCACGAAAATGAAGACTCAAGGAAAGAGGAAGCGACGAATTGATACTGAGTTTAAGCATTGCTCAATTTGATATTTCAACGTTCA